AGTGCCTGGACATCAGCTGTTTGAATATTTATGATGTGTTTGGTGGGGTCACCACACAGACGAGGCAGACTCAAGAGGCAGACTCAAGAGGCAGACTCAAGCCCATCGGCTTGTGGTGACTTCATGTAAATTAGGAAACAATGATGGCCATAAGGAGCTATTGTTTAAGGCAGAGGCTGTAGCTGAATAAGGCCCATCTGTTGATTTTGGTACACAGACCTTTAAGTTTAAATTTATAGTGAAAAAAAACTGGTTTACATTCATTAGCTGTAGTTCTGAACTGATCATTTGCTGAAGCTGAACTTTGTTTAGAGTACAAAATTACAATGCAAAATCAATTGTGCCTGTCAACAAGAAAATTTAATTCTGTGTGAATAAAATTAGACTGTGATCAGGTTCCTGATTCAAAAAGCATCATATAGTGGAAAAAAATGTGGTTAGACTATAATGACAATGACAGCAGGGGAGTGCTCTGTAGTGAAACTAACTTCTCTGGTCAACAGAAAAGCACACTTCAAAATCACTGTCTACTCACATCAGTCTGACCACTAATTTTTTACAGAGCATCAACTGCAAGTTGAGTTTGTCACGGGTGTGCAGACAATGGATGCAATTTGGAGACAATGGATTTACATCCAGCTAGAGTCAAAAGGCTGATGCTTGATAAAACGTGCTTACAATGGGGAAATACTGGTGCTTTGCTTCAGAAAAGCTAAATGTTCCGGAATGTAAATGTTGGTGCTGCTTGGAAGCAATAGATACAGCATTAAGGCTTAGTGCTCATAAGGTCAGCATTACTGTAAATTATAAATAAATAAATGATCGCATGAATGTCAATCGCTGTATGCGCATCTTATCACATGTGCTGAATAGTAGGACCAATCAGATTTCTCTGAAACAGTTTGTCTTTTGACTCTCAATACAAAGAGTTTCCAGGCCCAAATGATGAATTGAAGAGGATGTGGCCATCTGTCTAACCACTCACTGCACCGTGTCCTAGTGTTTTCTTTCATGCTGATGACTGATGGGTATCAGGCAGCAGACTCACACACAGCTTCTGCATAAAAAAAATACCTCTTCCTGTTTTCAGTGGAAGAGAGCTTGTGAACTGTGAGAGCAGCTGCAACACATGGTCAGATTGCTTCACATATGTTTAGCAATGCTGTAGAGACTGATATGATCACAGAAAATTTGGAAATCAGTGACATTCTCTGGATGCAAGATAAACTTGCTGAATAGCAATATTTTAAGACATGTTTTATTGAGTAATATATGCAATAATATATGTAAATATATATTTTACTGTGTTAATTCTAACAGGGTGAAAGTGAAAACGTTGCAAACAAGGGTTACAAGAAATATGTAGCTAATTAGGACAACCGCATAAATAAATGCTTTTCTTGAGGCAAGCTGAAGACATAATCATTTTCCCATCACACATCAGAATGTATGTTTCACCATAACAGCATACTTCTTTAAATGAAAAGGTTGTACTGCCATTTAAACCATAACTACATCTAACACAGTAATTCATACACTCAGGAAGAAAAGTGGTGTGTTTGAAGACTGGATTCCCCTATGCAATACAGAAATAACACAGCTCTGTTCCTCATTTGGGCCATACAGTTGCTCAGTGAGTACCACTGTTACCTCCACTGTGTGGGATTCCGGCGGTTAGGCTAATTGCTATGTACTCTGCCATAGGCAGAGCATCCTGACTATGCCTTACCCCTCACTTGACAAAAATAGGGGGTTGGAAGATGAACAGATAGATCCATCCTTCCACCTGACATTCAGTCCTTCATTTATTTGTTGATGATGGTGGACATCATGGGGTAAGAGTATCCTACAAGGCTGTGGCCATGAAAGAGGTTCACTAACTTCTTGTGCCCTGTCTGATGTCTGCCTCCATCTGCTCCAGAGCTGCTCCCCTTATTTACCCTGCATTTGTGCATTAGCTTCACAAATGTGCACAATTTGTGCAAAGGGAACATTTATCTAGAAAGACATTGATACACAGAAATTCAGTTATCTTAGCAACATTAGCATAGCCTCTGGGGTTATTCTCGAACAGGAAACAAGAAAATAAATATGTAAGGTACATCTTCTGGATGCAGTGGGACGCATCATCAGTGATGTAACCTGGGGTCACTGGGTGTTTCAGGTCTTTCAACATCAGACACCCTCACCCAGGTGACCCAGCTGAGGTTGATCAGGCCCCAGCTTGCTTCCCAGCAGCAACCGCCCATGGATCAGCCCTCTTCATCCACAGCCACTTTGTGGTCTCTGCGGCTTCGCATACGGATCAGATGACCATCTTCTGAGCCACTCCTGTTAGGCCCAGTTGGTTGAGGACTTTGCAGAATAAGTGTCCTGCAAAACCTCTACAGCCCACCTCTATTGGCTCGTAGTGAATGTTTCTGCCCCCTCCCAGCACATCTCCAACAATATGGTTTAGTTTTAAATAAATGGCTATTGGGCAAATTGTTAGTTTATAATAAATTAGTATTTCCATTTATCTTGCGAATCTTATTTGTCACAATAGAGATATACTGCTTTATACATGGAGAAGTTTTCTTACTACTCCCATTTTATTGTAACTCCAAATCACTAAGAGAAAGATTCGGTTAATCCATAACTGGAAGAGGGTTAAGCAGATTTTCATGGCGGCGTCATTTAAACCACTGAGTCTCTTTTCAGCTTCATAAAACAAGCAGCATGAGTCACCCCATGTGAGATCTGGAAAAACAGTTACAAAAAAGAAACAGATCCTGTCATCCAAAAGGAGTGCTTCTCATTTAAATTCTGCTCATTTAAATTCTGCTGACTCCTCTGCATGCTGGTTTTGTCTCTGTGGTTTCTGTTTAATTAGGCTTGACTGAGGTGTTGATTGAATTATGCAATTTGAACAGATTATGTGTGCTTTTCACTGAAAAGACCGACAAGCCATTCAGATGTTTTGATCTATGAATGATTACTTATTTATTAATAACTTAAATTATTTTGAAGTCAAAAGCTTTTTTTATTGTTCTTCCAAGCAGGATACCAGAGGATAAATTCATTGGCCAAAGTAAACATTACATAATCTGGCATAACTCTGCAAAATCCAAATACTCAAATAATGCTTTCTTTAATCTTTTTCTACAAATGCAAATTTTCCTTAATAGGTATTATGAGCATTTTGCATGTTTATGGTAAAAAAAAATTCGTTTTTCAAACTTATGTGGTGGGACCGTGTATGTGGTAATTGCAATGTATTTGGGGGAAAAGTGACATTTTCTCAGAATTTGTTTGGGACGGACCACCCTTATTTGACTTAAATGTTGTTGAAAAAAGGCCAAAAAGATTTTGACCGTCACCAACATATATAAGAACACATTTTTTCTTGAAAATTCAATATAAAAACTGAAAGCATATCCTGCTTTTCCTTTTGAGAAATAACTTTTTGTCATAATACCTATGTCTATCACAAACAGTAATATAGGGGCCCTACTATGCTCATTTTTTACTTCATAATTTTATTTTTGGGGTCTACTTGAATAGATGTACATACTTAAAAGCTCCAATTTTTTGTTGGTGCAGTGTTAAGGCCCACCCCCAATGAGCCCACTGTGCTCTGATTGGTCAGCTTGCTCGATTGGCCAGCTTGCTGCTTGTCCCTGTCTTGCAGTCTGCAAACAGATCCTTGCAGGTAGGCAGCCAATAAGGATTGCAATACGAGGCGGCCTCACCATGTCATGGAAGGGCTGGAATTCCAATGAGGCATTTCAGGCAGATTAGCAAAGAGTGGTTTGTGTGGTGAGAGTAATTTACTCCCTTTGGTGTGTACTGTGGGCCTTGAGATTTTACAGGCCGTTTACGTTAGGGATGGGCCAATCCACATTTTTTCAGTTCCGATCTGAATCCGATACAGATTCCAATATAATAGCTCTTTTTACTACTTTGTTTTGCTTTATTTTTTAAGCTAGTAAATGCAGATGGAAAAATGTATGACAAAAATATTTAATTAGGCTACTACAAACATACATAACGTACTGTTGCACATCATTTTTACGTCTTGTTTTAAGCGTTTTTGAGGCATTTGCAGTTCAATATGAATATATTCAAAGCAAGTATACACAAGTGGCGAATGATTAAAATTTTTACACATTTTTTCTCCTTTTGGCGTCAGTTCAGTTACACATTGTTGCGATGGCATCCCCTCTTGTATCACAAGCTGCAGCGAGTTCGCAGGACAGCCCGAGTTAGCGACTCCCAAATCATCCATTGCTTTTTTGTCTCGAACAGTTACGTACGCTTTGTTAAGTGGGATTGTCCATTAAACGCTATTCCCACCTCTCAAAACTTTATTTTACAAAGATTGCAAATCGCTGTGATACTGGTTTCTGTTAAAAGCGTAAAATACTTCTAGATCGTCAAATCTTTATCTTACACCCTCGTACTGCGAAAGGTATGCGCGTGACGTCACAGCAGGCGGAAGTCACTGTACTCACGCCCTCTGAGTAGCTAAAAAGACTTGTTAGCGTTCGATTTGAATGCTGCAAAAAAAACACATGTAAAATGGGAAAGAGCTGTCGTGCGATTGATTGTACAAATAGATTTAACACGAAATAGGAGCTATCTTTTTAGAGATTGCCAAAAACGAAATAAGTAAGTATAGGACGTGGGTCGGTCACGCATGGCCGATACCCGATTCGTCAAATTGGTCTGGATTGGCGCCGATACCGATCCGAATATCGGATCTTATCGGATAGCTTACATGCACATAAAGCTACAAAACACACTAAAGGAAAGGGAAAACAGAGTGTGTAGCATTTTCTTAAAGTGTTCAAATAACAGATTTACTACTTTATGGTCTTCAGCACCAGTCCGTTCAAGTTTTTCCTATGGTAATTAGCATAATGCTTTAAGGAACCAGCACTAGAAGCTCTTCCACTCGATGCTATGCAACAGAATCGTAATGTTCTGCCAAACTTTCTTTACAGTCACTTTTCAGCAAAAGCACCTTCTCATAATTTGGAATCGGCTAAGTCGGGAGAGATTTATCTAGAGAACATGATAGATTAGTGGCTTTCATTTTCACCTGGATAAACCCACCTGGAATGCATACTTTCATTATTGTTCAGTACATTAGCATATGAAATCAGCTTGTGTTTCGGCTATAAGGTGGAGCCACATTGCTACATCTGCGCCACAAAACTCTGATCATGTCCTTTCAGCACTCCTTTCACCATCTTAATCACTCAGTTTCGATAAAAGGGCATGTTGGTTCATAATACGGAGACGGGAATGTAAAATGTTTTACCTGACTAATGACCAAGAGGGTGTTGTCACAAATGACTAGATATAATAGCATTTACTTCTATTAATGTGGTGAAAGGATTGACCCTGTTGTGAAAAACAACTGATCTACAATTGTCAGAAATAGTTTCAAGAGTCTGTATTACATTATTATACTCCTATATGGTTCAGTAAAATAGCACATTGATATGAGGTTAAGGAGAGATGCAATTGTGAATTTCCTATATAAAATATGTAGTGATCTTTAGAAATTTTAACTCTTTATTTTTTGATACATATCTATGGGAATGTGTGTTAGCAAGTGTGTGTTTGTTTAAAGTTTAAGTGTGAGGCAAATATGATGTATCCTTTGTACATGACAATATTACTAAATTCTCCTTGTTTTTTTAAATAATTCAATTACTTTTCTTCAGATGGGTAGAGTCCCTGAATTACGTACATACACTAAACATTGCAATGTAGAAACCAAAAAATGAGGCAACAGTTAGCCTACTAGATGTAAGGGATAAATAGGTGGAGGTCACGCCCATCATACGTAACCCTGAGTCTCATGTGACAATGAATGAATGTCTTATTCTATTCAAAGTCTTCTGTCCCTTCAGGCAGTACATGCCAAGTCTATAGAACATACCATCATTTGGTCAGCAAGTATATCTCTGCAGGGAATGTGTAAGTCTAAGATGTGAAAAGCATCTGGAGGGACATCCGTGAAGAGCCAGGAGGTGCTGGGTATGAGTGATGGAAGGTTTTAATATAATGTATAGCAATGTCTTAATAGCTTGGGATTAAGTTCAAATGTGGAAGCTGACTATAATTTCTTTTTTTAAAGAGTGCTAAGAAGAATAGCCAGAATCACTAATGAGTTTCTGAAGATCTAGGGAAGGTCAACGAATTCCTGAAATTTTACTTTGCGGAAGTACTGCTGCTTTGAACTACTGCCTCAAGGATAACATAAAAATGCTTGTTAGTAGCATGGTGCACAAAGATCTCCGGCCGAAGAATGTAGGAAGAAGGGCCTAGCTAGATAAGAAGACATGTGACCTCAGATTATTTTCTACAACAATGTCAATGTGTCTATATTTAACACATTCTCTCAGCTGAAACCAACTGTCTGAGTAGAGCCTGTTTTGTAGTCTTCATGGTCTCTGGGCTCTTTTATGGGTTTTTATAGGTACTTCTGTTTCCTCCAGCAGTAAAAAGCACAAGGTCCAAGTGAATTGGTTTCTTTTAGCTGCCCTTTGTGTGAGACTACGCCCTGGCATTCTGTCCAGGGTGCCCACTGCCTCATGCCTGGGATAGGATCCATTCTCATTCCTCATATTGATCCTGTGCTAGAAGAGTAACCTGGAAAGGTCATGGATGGATGAATCCATGTATGCTGGATGCTCCTCATGGAACTGTTACACAACCTGTTACCTCAATTCCCTGCTTCAAGGTGGTGCACCCAGAGCTTCCTCCAGATCAATTGCAGAGAACACAGGTATCTGCAAGCACAACAAAACATGCAAGATATCACAGTGTCTTCCTCTATATCCATCCATCCATTTTCTGTAAACGCTTGTCCTATTCAGGGTCATGTGAGGTCCGGAGCCTATCCCAGAGGCTATGGGCACAAGGCAAGGAACGACCCAGAATGGGGCACCAACCCATGGCAAGGCACACTCAGACACCAGTCCCACTATATCCAAAGCTTAAAAGATTTATATTTCCATTTATACATACTGTCCATATCTAAGGTGACCAGATAATCCATGTCAGGAGGACACTTTGAGTGAAGACATGATTTGTAAACTAACCTGGATTTCACTTAAGCACTGAGTTCTTGCTATGTGCTGTTTGGTCAGTCTCCTGTAATCATGCATGTGTCACTAATGTTAATGTCAAAGCACAAGATGAGCTGAACTCTTTAGCCAAGCACAGGAGCCTTTCAGTTTTAAAGTAGTTTGTAAAACCTGAAGTAGCTCGAGGTGTCCTCCCTGACAGGGATTATCTGGTCTTCCTATCCATATTTTAGCCATTATGCTACCCACTATCTCTGTACTTTATTCCTCCTATGATTTGTTGCAATGCTATTCCTGGGCTGTTCTAACTGGAGTTCTGCATGTCATTTTAATGAGAAATGTAATGGATTTACTGCACGATAGGAGATTGAGGACTGCGCATATAGCTGAACTTGCTTGCAGTGAATGGCTGCGATGTGTCCCAGCGTCTCATTGGACGCCGCGCGGGCTGTCATTAAGAAGGGCTGGCCGCAGGAGCCTATCCAGCAAAGACGTGTTTCTTTTGAAAAGAGGAAGGTGCTATACCTGTGATACTGTTATCTTACTTTCCTTTTACGTTGTCTGAGTTTCTGTTATTGAACAGATAGTCGAGAGCACTTTAGGTATTCAGTCCGAAAGCATGTGACAGCGTATCCGCAGCTGAAGCCTTTTGCTGAAGTTTAGTCTGTTGTTTTCTCTTGGGTGTTGGGTTGTTCGGTATTCGCCGGTGCTGTTAAAAGTTACTGTATAGTGACATGAAATAGGGTTAAGTTACTAAACGTAGGCGTCATCTCACTACTGGACCTCGAATTCACGTGTAGATACCGAGACGAGGAAAAGCCGGACTCAACAATGACCAACAAAAACGGGATGGTGATGAAAATCCAAACGCCGATCCGTACGGACTCGTTTAAAAGCAGTTATGATGTGGTTGGCAAAACACTGGGCAGGTAAGTGCGCATTTTTGATCTTATATCTAACTGAACGACTTATACGAATCGGTGTATAGTGCTGTTGCCCGATCGATAGCATGAAGGTAAATTTAGTCATGCAAATGCATGGTAATAGTCTGTATTTTCTAGTAAGAATGAGAATGGAAAATGCTGAACAACACTAAAAAACTGTTCTGTGGTGTGAACCAGGAGTGTAGACGACTCAAAACCCAGGTCAGGAAGAGAAACTAATAATAAATGTATATAAACAGCTTATGTCTAAGAAAGAAAAGGCGGCTTTTCTGTAAATAAATTAATTTACTGCAGACATCACATGGCTGATGAATGAGTGTGACTTGGAGTGTAGATGTATATAATACTGGCTTAAATTCTGGCTGCAGCTGTTCAGAGTATAAACCCATTAATTTATGGCTATCGGTATTCAGTTTGTCGTCAGTTATAGACATCTTTAACAGTTTGCTGCAATCTTCCTTGGGTTTGTACAGCCTCTACCTCCCTATTTATCATGTCGATCTTTCTTGATTGCCAGACTGGTTCCTTGGTGCTACGACAGATCTGATATGCAGTTCTGGAGAATAGACTGTCTGTTGTTATGCTGTCATAAAGGCTAATGTTCGTGCTATCCCCTTTCCTTTTAAAGGTGCATGATGGTGTTTGAATGTCTCATTTTCGTCTTAAATGGACTGTTCTATGCCACAATGGTCCATGCATGTAAATGCCGGCTTGAGTGTTTAACAGCAGGCGGCTGATCGTCAGACTTGAGTAACTGTGTGAGTGAGACTGACAGCAGACAACACAGGAAAAGAAGTTTCACAGTTCAGATGAGGCTCATTTCCTTTTATGGAATGGCGGTGGTGGTGTGTGGCTCAGCCTCTGTGCCTGTGATCGCATGATCGTCAGTCCTCGGAAGAATAATCGCATGTTTGGGGTCCCCTGAGCTAGGAGCGCTGTTTGCTGCGCTGTGACCCCCCTACCCCAAGCATGCTCTTACTTGAATGTGTGTCAGAGCAGTCTCTGTTCTAAAGCTTGTGATGCAATTTAATTAAGAAATAATGGTGTAGAAATCTGTGGACACTTGGCCAGCCCAGTTTTGCACAGCTTTGACTCTGCAGGGCTGTTCTTGGTTACAGGACCCGTGACCTCTGAAGTTCCCATACTGTGTGTTCCTATTGAAAGAGAACTTGAGTACAAATAAGTTAAAAATGCCTTATTCTGAATTGATTTAGTCAACAATGCATTCTCTGCTGTCAATGATGATTAAATTTTGCATATCAGTATTAATGTCTCAGGGAAAACAGCCACTATATTTAAAGTTCCTGCATATCAGTGCTCGTTGGCGAAAGTCCAAACTAAATAAAAAAAAAAAAAATACAGTTCATTCATCTAACAATATGTTGATTTCTAGTGAAGAAACTCTAAATAAGTATAGGTGGTGATAGTCGACTGACCCTGCTGTTCTCCTTCCTGTCCACTAGGGGTAAGTTTGCTGTGGTGAAGAAGTGTGTCGAAAAGTCGACTGGGAAGGAGCATGCAGCCAAATACCTGAAGAAGATGCGCAGGGGGCAGGACTGCCGCTCAGATATTATCCATGAGATCGCCGTGCTGGAGTATGCGAAATCCAACCCCTTCGTTGTATCCCTCCATGAAGTCTATGAGACGACAAAAGAGATGATCCTGGTGCTTGAATAGTAAGTCCCCCCCCAACCTAAAAGAGTGGACATTCATTCTTCTACAATGATACAAGTTGCTGCATGTCAAGTGAATCACAGGAAGGATTTAACTCTAATATCCTATTAAATTTTAAATGTCAGAAACTTAGTGGGTTTTTAATCTGTTTTAATACTGCTGAGAATATTACAGCGGTGGACAGGCCTTAGTCTGGCTATTGTTCCTCTGAGTGTTGGCAACCAACACTTGAGCTGTGGCTTTGCTTCAGTCTTTATTTAAATTTCCCTTACTTTTACTAGTGTAGATCCAGATTTAGTTTTTAAACCTTACTGTCAGGTTTAGAGTAGTGGGGAGATGATATCTCAGATGTAAGAAGCCTTGCTTCCTGTGTCTGCACCTTTCCTGTCTGCCTTGGTACGTCTGGCCTCATTTCCGCAGCCGGTCAGCCTCTGTCATACACGTGTTCGTATTCACCTTAAAAGGAAATGAAAGCTTGTTTCCCCCTTCAGCAGAACTGTGCAGAGTCGACCTCAGACTACCCAGGGTCTAGGTGTGTTACGGCCAATGGGTAACTCAAGGCCGTGCCTCAGGGGCCTCGTCAATCGCTGATATTACGCTGGAAAAATGTTGCTTTTCAAGATCAAGTCAAAGTAACACTGGGAGGAAGTTCTAACTATACCTGTCACGCAGTGCAGTTTCTAATGTTTAACACGTCCATTGAGCTGCTTGTCTCTAAAGAGAGAATTCTTAACTTGATTTGTAATTATGTATTTTTTTGATGACCTTTTGTGTTTGCATTATGACTTGATAAGGATGCTGTATATATTCAGCATGTAAATGTATTGAGCCATGCAATGGGCATCTTTTTTGGAAGAGGGTTTTGTAGCCTTAGCTTTCCCAGACTCATCAAAAAACTGCAGGAGTTTGGGCAGAGTTACCCAGAACCATACTGGGCGTAATAACCCAAATATTCACATTTACTACACTTAGCCCCTAAATGCCTCACTTTCTCTTAAGCAGGGCTGCCTTGTTTTCTCGTTTCTCTTTTCCTGCTACATTGGGCCTTTAATTCACATCCTTTGTGACAGAGTGAGGTTTCTCAAGCATTCTTCTGAGAAATGATTTGCGTCTAGCTATTTTTTTTTTCTCGCCATCTGTACCACGTTCGACTGCACAGCGGTCTTCTCAGGTCATCTGCCCCCGCACCACTATGCTTCTTTGCAAAACCGGCATACTGAGTGTTCTTTTTCCATTTCCGTTTAGTTTTAGCTCTAGCTGTGGGGAGCATTTAAAAAATCAAATATACATTGCAGCTGCCGCTACCACATCCTTAACCAGTGCTAAACTAGGTCTAGGCTCTTTTGGGTTTGAAGAGGGGAACAACAACCTTGTTTTTCAAAATACTACGGTTAAAAGAGAATTAAGTGAAAAGGGTGATAAGATATTAATTATTACTCTTTAATACCTCATTGCTGCCTTCCAGAAGACTCGTTACTTTGCATTCAGAATTTCCTTGCTGTACAGTATTACAGAAATGGTCAGGCCATTGTCTAATGAAATCTGTATGTACAGTATGGGCTGTGATGTCATTGATACCAGGGATAAACACGCTTTTACAGTATACAAGTTTTCCCAAATACTTGTCGAGATGATCTTCTCTGCAAAGCAGTACTGGCCTGCATCCCCTGAGCTTACTTTGAATTAAAGGTGTTCATTGTGTGCCTACATGCTGCTCTAGCAGAATCTTCCAGACAAACCTCTGGCCATCAGCGTGCTGGGGCAGTGTACCATTCTGTGTCTCTGGTTAGAGGTGTGGCCCAGTCATAGTTCTGTACTGTTGAGTAATAGTAGAGGTGCATTTACAGTAAATCTGGATTTATTTTATGCTTCACAACCCGATGCCGTGTTTTAAATCTTTCGATTTGCTTGCTTCTTTTTCTGAAACGTGTCGTCAGTTATTAAAGGGTTAGTGTTGTAGCGTATCTGCGGTGATGTCATGGCCTCAGTTTGGAGTGCATTGTGAAAGACACCCTGAACCGTAGCCTTTGTCCCCATCTAATAGGCGTCACCTTCCTGTTCCCTGTGCCCGCTGGCACACTCAGTCCATGAGATTGCTTGTATATCACTGGATGTCTGGGTAACGGTGACATTCCTGAGTTTGTGTTTTAATAGGAGAGTAATCTTGTGCTTTGCCTTTTATAATTCACTGCTTGTAGGCTTTTTGTTGTTGTTGAGTAGTTCCATTTCTAGCTTTAAAGTTATAAAAGCTGGTTATGTAACATGGAATATGGAATATGGAATACTGATGCATTTCTCACTGGTACTTCAAAAAGCCTTTAAACCGTACTGCAGATCGCTACTGCTCTGATGACAACGGTTTGTGTTGAGTTGCTCTAACACAGGGGTAGCCAATCTTATCCGCAAAGGGCCGGTGTGTGTGCGGGTTTTCGCTGCAACTTCCTAACTAGACCACTAACTAGAGGACTGATTGGCTGAAAGAGTCCTCACACCTGGGTTTGAACAGCTGACTTACAGGTTATCCCAAAAACCCGCATACACACCGGCGCTTTGCGGATAAGATTGGCCACCCCTGGTCTAACAACTCTGCCTGAGACCCGAGGCTTGACCCAACTGAAGTTAAATTCACAGCAGCTGTCGCTGAACATTATCAAAGATGATTAATCAGTCTTCAGTTTACTTCAGTTTATTGAAAGTGGCTTTGCAAAAAACTTGAATATTCCTGAGTTAATCTTCCTCAAACTGCCCGTGCTTCATTAGACCCAGTAAATACAGCACTCCTGTGTTTGTGAAATCGTGCTTTGCTTTTGCTGAAATAATGCATGCACCCTTTTGTCGCACCATACAAAGAAAGTGTGCTACAAAAATAACTGCAAGAGTTTTGTTCATTCTCCTACGACGTGATGGTGATTCTAACACACACTCGCTTTCTTTTCGGACTTACAAAAAAATCTCTCCCTATTGTCTCCATTTAGCTGTTGGCCAAAGCCCAAGTGCTCTTCTCACAAGGTTATCAAAAAACTCCTTAATATCTGCCTCTTGTCTCTCAAAGTAAGGCTGAGTCTGTTGTGTTTCCTGGTTTCCTTTGGCTTATCAGCTTGAGGAGGTGATGTAAGGAGGCCGTAACTGCAGAAGCCCGTCACCACTTCTGCAGTTTCGCCCTGCATCCTTTTCTCTTGTAGCCTTCAACACTATGCAGACCCCCCTAGATTAGTTGTCTTATGATTGTTGAATGGATGAGTATTGTGTGTATTAGTAGTTAGACTACAACCCCCTTCAGTGTCTTCATACCCATTCTGAAGAAGATTTCTCACGAGTCCTGTTTTTACAACCAGGACTCGAGGGCAAGAGCAATAAATGAGCGTGATGGGTGGACGTGAAGTTGCATGACTGATGCACCCACCGCACTAAGAATGCAGGCGAGCCGTGTGCACAAAGCAGCAGTCTCACGTGCTTTTGTTTTCAACTCTCCGCCGCTCCAGGAATCTTATCTAAGACAGCAGCCTCACGTGGGAGTTCTTCACATTCCTCTGTGGTTTAATTTGGTTCCTCCAGTATAATATCCAGTAAATGAAAGGGTGGGGAAATTCCCCATTAATATAACCATCAATCCTCCAGGTGAAACATTCAGTGATTTTCTTTCTTTCTTTCTTTATTTATTTTTATGTAAGTCGACCAAAAAATGCAAGAAATTTCATGTGCTTTAAATACCTGTTTTTTTTTTTTTTTTTGGCTCAGCTACTGTTCGACGCTCTTGTCATGACATGGATTCCAATACAAGTCAATTTTTAAATAAGTGAAGCTCCTTGAGGACACCTGGCATGCATTTTTCACCTTCTAGTAATGAACGCTATGAGCTATGAGTTAGAGATCGGTGCCCTTATAGGTCTGGGTGCGAGCCTATGAGTAAATTAAAGAATGTACATGATGAGGTGTCTACTTTCATGTTTGATTGTCCTGTTTCATACTGAAAGTTATTTTTTTCCCCTCACTTCTGTAGTGCAGCCGGTGGGGAGATTTTTGACCAGTGTGTAGCGGACGAGACCTTCCCAGAGCGGGATGTCATCAGACTCACCCAGCAGATCTTAAAGGGCGTTGCTTGTCTGCACCGTAACAATGTAGTACACTTGGATCTGAAGGTCAGTAATAAGCATAAGTAAAAATGCCTGGTAACCAATAAGTACAGATAAATATCACTTAACCAGCGGTCAGCAACGCATTGACTGGTAGCTACTAGTTACCCACAGGGAGCCAATGAGTAGCCCACATAACATTTATTACAAATAGGATTCATTTCACCATCAACAAACACCACCCACATTATTTTCTTTGTAGTACAAAGTAAAAATGTTGGGGGCCACTGATTTACAGTTTGGCTAATATTCAATTAGTTTTGCTTCTGTCTCCATCCAAGCCTCAGAATATCCTGCTGACCAGCTCCCAGCCCTTGGGTGACATCAGAATCGTGGACTTTGGTCTGTCCAGATGCATGGACAACAAGGAGGAGGTTCGGGAGATAATTGGGACACCGGAGTATGTGGGTAAGTCACCAAGAATTACGAAGAATCTGCCATTTCATTTCTGGTTGTGAATTGAAGAAAAAAAAAAAGTAATTTTAAAATGTCTTGTGCTGTAAATGGCTGGAAGGTACCAAAGAGAAGCTAAGAAATTCTTGAAAACGGTCTAATAATAATTTTGCCTCCGTTTTAACTCCTAGACCTTTGTCTGATTCTCTTTCAGCCCCTGAAGTCCTCAACTACGAGGCCTTAAGTCCATCCACAGACATGTGGTGAGTGTTAACTTGTTTTGAGTCATGCTCAGATACATGATCTACCTTAGCTTACTTTGGCGTTTTTAAGGTGTGTGTTTGGGGGGGGAGGGAGTTTCCAAATTGCTGAAATATTTATTCAGGGGGCAATGTCAGGTTAAAGCCAGTAGCAGCTACGACTAAGGGCTGAACAGTTCGGGCTGTCTTTACTAAGTGCTGTCATGTTCTTGTGCTAGAATCTCCTAAATGAGCTGCCTTGAGCATCAACTCAACTATTTTTTTTTTTTCTCTTTTCCCTTTCAGGAGCATTGGTGTCCTGACCTATGTCATGCTGACAGGATCGTCCCCATTCCTGGGTGATAACAAACAGGAGACCTTCCTGAACATCTCGCAGGGCAATGCGGACTACTCCCAGGATGTCTTTGAGGGAGTGTCTTCCCTCGCCATCGACTTCATCAAGACCCTCCTTGTCCAAGATCCTAGGTCAGCCAGTTCTGTCGTGTGCTCTGATTCAGTCAGTTTTTTTTTTCCCCTGGAAAAAATAGCCTAGCGCACCCTCTTGAGGATGACATGTGTCATTGCAATCTAATGTGTACTGGGTGACAGGCCTAGGATGTGTCTGTATCAATTAAAAGTGCAAAGATTTACTGTCTGCTTCAGATTAGATAATTGAGCCAGTTGAGTAGAGGGGAAGAATGGCAAAATCAAAATATGGGACAAAATGAACAGACCGTTGATCTTGCTGGATAAACATCTGATTTCTGAAGTTTGGTTATAAATGCTTGCATTTTTCCCCTCTAATTGCAGAGAGAGACCCTCTGCTGAAGACTGTCTGGCTCATCCCTGGCTGATGGGGGGGTCTAAGCCGCCCACCCACCTCCACTCTACCCTGTTGCCTAGCCAAGCTGAGCCCGAGACCAGCCAGTCAGAATCGGACTCAGAACCTGAGAGTCCAGTCCCCTCCCGGGATCTGCTCTACATGACGCCCTACTGCTCCAGCCAGCGTGAGATGAAGGCCATTCGGGGCACCTTCTCGTGCGACGAGCCCTTTCCCAGCCTCCCCGAGATCCCGCAGAAGTGCGTCTGCTGAGCCAGCTTGACTATGGACCGTCAGTTAGCCCCTGTGGTTATCATTATTGTTATTGTGTTGTTTTTTTAAGGCACTTTGAGGTTGTGCAATGGCCATGTCTGAATGTGGCAGTTTGACATGCTGTCAAGGAATCTGTAGCCATGCTTTGAAGAAGGAATGTTAAAAAGCCCATGCATTATCTCCAAGTCATTAAGAGGATTTTTCCCACCGTTTCTTTCTTCTTAATTTAAAACAAACCTGTTATAGATGTCCATCATACACTGTGGTAAAGGTATCTCAGTTCTTCTTTTGTTTTCTATGTTGAACTTTTCTCCTTTTATCTCCGTTAAGATGGCCTGGATCCAGAGATCAGGGAATATATGCTAACCTAGAAAAGGGTTGAAGTAACAGTTGTGACACATGTTCCCTCCTCTATATTTTTGTTTTCCCCTTGAAATTTTATTTTATGGGCATAAGTAAAAAGCCTGTATGTGTTGTACTATGAGGGTTATATACAACAACTATTAGCTTGCTTGGTACTTTTTATTTGTGAAGTTTCAAGGAGTGACAGACCAGTGCTGAAGTTCATAATTTTCACGTAGTTTTTGCTTGTATTTGGTTCTGTGTGTGTCCTCAAATCAAGATAACCAAGTACCTGAATTAAACGAGAATAATAAAGGAAAGAATTGTTTACTGCCTTCTTTAGTTAGATTGACCAACTTCCAAGCACTTTGTCAGAAAATGGACTGATATCTCACGGTGTCCAAAAATCTTAATTTATTACTTTGGAAAATTTATTGCATATTTTTCACACCTGAGTTTTGTTTTTAATCTCATATAAATGCCCAGTCATTGCTGCTAAAATTGTGTTATTCAGATTGACATGGATTTTGTTGATGTTTTAAAGTTCTCTGCCTTATTTCCTTGACTTTTCCAAACTGAGTAATATTTTGTAAAAGTTCTTGAAAGGAAAATCTGAAATACAGCGTCATGCTTAGCAGCTCAAAGCTGGCTGCATTAGTAATGCCTTGAAGTTTTATATGCAGAGAAATTTCCGGAACAAGCATTAAATCAAAATATTCATACATAGGACTGAAATGTGTATATCTGTCTATTTAGTTTTTAGGTTAATATCCTCAATTTTTTTCTGTTGTCAATTTGATTGTTTTAATTCATGTATAAATATATAAAGTGCTGTATTAACTTGTCATCGTTCTTGTTTGTTCCACTAAACCAGTGGTGATGTGGGTCCCCCGTCTTCCCATAGACTGATCGCTATCAGGAGCTGAACTGCCAGCCTGCTCTCTTGCATGTTGGGGCCACATCCGTTACATGGTGACATGGTGTGTGCTGCTCGCTTGGCCTCCAAGACTTGGTCCTACTTTGATTGCCTGCAGTTCAGGCTTGTGGGATGTGCTCCGATTCATACATGCGTGTTTGAAAGCTACCAGGAAGGTCACTAATACCAGGTCTATGTAGTCATTTAATTAGCCCTATCTGCTATGAATGGCAAACACACGCACGCACACACAGAACCATAACATTACACTAGAATGTTATAGTAGAAGAGCTACTGTAGCACAAATGGCAGATTATTTAATTGATGGTCACAGTTAGGGATGGGCCGATCCACATTTTTTCAGTTCCGATCCAATTCCGATACACAACTACCGATACCAATACAGATTCCGATACAAGAGCTCTTTTTACTTTGTTATGCTTTATATATTATTTTTAGTAAATGCAGATGGAAAAAATATTCCAAATTCACATTCAAAGAAACACTCTTTCATTTAGCATGCCATTGTACGTAAATGCTTTGTTTCTGCTCGCTAAGAAAGGGAATGACTGCGTGTCCAGGATTTTACGGGACTGAGGTGGCAACCCTACCTACTGTTTGCTCTTTCCAGAGTGTCCGGCCACACCAAAAACACAAGGTTTAGAAATATCTAGACTGCTTAATCCAGAACTCCACAACCCATTACATTTCAGTGGGCGTCTGACAATGCATGAGACTAACATGCTTAACTTTATGGCTTTTGCCCAAAACTTTATAAAAGGTTTCTACTTGGGGAGAGGAGCATCGTAGGGTCTTGAAACATCCGGGGCAGGCAAGAAATCTTTAGATTTTCACCTGAAAAATGCACCGTTTTCAAGTCATTTCAGAGTCAAATGAATATCCTATGTGATACTCTACTAAAGTATGAAATCTGCACATGACACTGCCACCTCTCAACATATGAGTTTCCCAGAGCGACAGCCAGGGGTCAGCTTCCCGCCCACTGCCTGTTGTGCGTTAGCGATCACTTTGAAATAATTTGTAGTAAATCAAGTGACTACTTAGTGAAATCAAAGAATGGGCATTTGTGTCTCCGGGCCATCCACACTGATGTGAGTCGATTTGAAAGAAAATAGACATGTTAGTCATGGAGCTGACTTTTTTGAAGAATATCGTGAAACTTCGGAATTGAAAAAAGATTAGTTTACGATGCATTATTTGTGCGATTCTGAGTAATTCATTTGTATTCTGGTGTATCCCTACTATCTAGACCAGTGGTTCTCAAATTGCGCCATCACACACTGCTGTGCCTAAGTTGCTGGTCAGGTGTGTTTTGGAATTAGTCTCATGATGTTTTACATGTAAAGGTGTGACTTGGAAATACTTGCTTTCATAAATGGTAAAGCCTTGTTTCATAAACGCTTGAGGAGCCCTGAGCTACATTAGCTAGCTACCGAGCGAGCCCTCTTCTTCACCAACCTGAACCAACAGATGAAGCTGCTATGGCAACAGGAAATAACTCTTCCTGCACGTTCTCAAGCCTTGCCTGCACCTCCTCACCTATTTTTTTTTTTTAAAAAAAGCTTCTTATCCATAATTCATTTTGGAAAGAAACTTCTTTTGCTAAAGTAAATTTGCTAGCTAGCAATCACCTGATGCCAACAATGACAAGCCTGGTACCCAGTGCTCTCGCGCACGCAAGATGTGTTTTTGATCAACAATATCATATTATTTCCAAGGGCTTTAACGTAAAATCTGAATGACAAGTTAATAGATTAGGTGTTTTTTTATTATTATTATTATTATTATTTAATAAAAAAAACAACAAGCTGTACCAGGATAATGGCAATAAGATACTCCGTCCTGTGCAAAAGCCTACTGTAAATAATTTGATGAATATAATCTATTAACTGGTCGATCCATATGGTTTCTTGTCTTTCCATTCAAGCTTCTGATTTCCCAGTTCCTAGAAAAGAATCCAAATATTTACAACTATTGAAGCAGGGTTGCCAACTTTGCTGAGCCGGCTGGAGTGAGATTTTCAGTTTGAGACAGTCTGCATATACATATTTACACGCCATTACATGTACAGCCATGGAAAAAATTAAGAAACTACTCTATATTTTTAAACAAATCTGCATTTTTAAATCCTGGTTCTGCTGGCAGCAGGCTACACTGAGCACCAGGGCACTTCTAGGTTCAAAATTTCTAAGACACAAGTGCACAAGAATAAGGTGAAGCAGGAGACACTGGGAATGACCGAATACCAGCCAGGTAAAGGGCAGAAGCGACTTTCTAATGCCAGAGATGACCGTTAACTTATCTGACAATTTCTCATGAATCGAAGGATGACATCAAGTGACCTTCAAAAGGAATGGGAATCATTGAGTGCAGGTGTGAAGTGCACTGCTATGATAGTTTGTATCAGGCTCCTAAAAGCAGGACTGAGGTCCCATAAAGCAAGTAAGAAGGTCTTCATTAACGAGAAACAGAGAAGAGCCAGGTTGGAGTTTGCAGAAAACTATATATTATTCACAGATGCACACCCATAAATTGAGAAATGAGTGAAACAAAAAATTGTGCTGTGGTCTCTTAATATTTTCCGTGGCTGTATGTAATAGTTTTATTACGATGTAATTTGTCTGTAGGGTTTGCAAACTGCCCCAACACTTTTGATGTAGCCAATTTTAGGTTTATAATGAAATAATTTAGATTTACCATAAGATTTCTTGTGTGAGCATGAAAGTCTGAACGCATGAGTGTTGCGCCAGATGCGTGAGAGTTGGCAGCCCTGATTGAAGGGTCCCCTGGAGACCCTTAGGTTATCCACAAGATGTCACTATTGATGCAGTTTTGAAGGTGTGCCTCCTTCAGCTGTGAAACTCCAAACTAAGACGTTGAGATTATCGCTATTCAAAATACTAAAAAACAAATACCTGTTTTGTATGCAGTAGGTTGGCCTATCCACACTGCACATTAGGCACCTTACAGCATATTCAAAATGCTGCAGCTAGAACTTTTACTAGGAGCAGAAAGTATGAACATAAAGTATAGTCCCTGCCTTCACTGGCTTTCTGCTAGGTATCGGACTGATTTCAAAGTTCATTTATACACATATAAGAAACTCAAAGGTCAAACACCCATCTGCTTAGCATGACTGATCAATATTTTGCTGTAATTATGGCTGTTTTGTGTTTGCCAGCAAAATGTAGCATCTGTTCTTATCTAGTGTAGGGTCACAGTGATTCAGGAGTGTATGCCATTAGGTATAGAGCACAAGGCAAAGGGCATCATGGAACAGATTTCATTCTATGGCAGAGGTGGAAATTTCAGACCGTGATTTTGTTTCAACCAACNGCACAAGGCAAAGGGCATCATGGAACAGATTTCATTCTATGGCAGAGGTGGAAATTTCAGACCGTGATTTTGTTTCAACCAACCAGCTGAGTAGAATTAGTCGGAGTCACGGAGTACTCAACTGGCTGGTTGAACCAAAATCTTGGCCTGGATTTTACTTTCTGGATCAGAAATTTCCACCTCTGGTCAATGGCCAGGCACACGTTCACTCAGACACCAAATCACTGTGCCTTTATCTTGCGGGAGAGCCAGAGGAAGCCAACACAGACACTTAGAGAACATATATACTCTACACAAAGCTGGGGAACATACTGACTACACAAA